GTGTATATATATATACACACACACGCGGCCCGCGCGTTACGTTAAAACGATTTTGAGTATGCAACTCAGCAAGTCACGTGAAATTACATCTGACATAAAGTCATGGTGGAACGGAATGTAACAAAACTACTTTTGACATTGTTCGTAGATAGTGTGACGCCACCGAAAATTGATCATTTTTCGAAATGGTATATAACACTCCTTTCCGACTCAAAATATGCATACACTCATATCATACAGACGTGTCGAGATCAAGGGATTAGAATTTCCAAATAGGGGATATCCCTTGAGCTTAATGACAGTGGAAAACAAAGGAATATGGATCAACTAGGGGCACCAGAATCATCAAAAAAGTTACATTGCAACAACTGTACCTCAGCTGTAATAAATAAAGTGCGACGTTTTGTAAAATATGATAATCCACGAACACAAGGATCAGTGGTATAAGCTGCCCACATCCCAAGGCAACAGTATGGAGCAAAATCAAGAGGGATCTACATCTTGAAAATGACACAAGGCACGTGTACACTAGCTTGGGGGAAAATTTGACGTATTTAGAATACCTTTTTTTTTATAGAATACGTTCATGCATAACTCAGTTGCGGAAGCTGTCTCCTCCCCCCATTTTTGAAACCAACGTTATAACACTGCATAAGTTACTTCCACGACATATCATTCAACTGTCGCACACCTTAAGTAGCTGGAGAATGAAATGGATGTTTGTTATTCTGTACGAAGACATACAGGTTAAGTCGCTGGATGTAGCATCTATGGATTTCTGTGCAAAATCGTCGTCTTCGTAAGCTAGATGGATAATGGAAAGTCTGTCGAGGGAATGGGTGTGCTTTGGGCACAATAACCTTACGATGGAGAATTTTTCAATGAAAAGTGTATTGCAGGAATATTGTCAAGGTTGCACATCAGACGTAGCAACATGCACTGTAACAACATGGTGAAACTCAAAGATTTTCTGTTTGTTTTTGTTGTTGTTTTGCTGATAAACAAGAAAGACTTCCAAGAATTTTATTTAAGAGGACAAAGGACTCCCCTCTTTTCCAAAATTCCCGAAAGGATATAATTCCATATAGTATTCACGTTAGCTTACTTCTAGAATGCAACTTTATTAAAGTTTGATTGTTATTAGGAAAGCATTAAGTTGAAAGTGCAACCACAGAAGACCAATTGTTGAAGAGTCTTGCTGTCAGTTACGCTCTATTTCAGACGACTGTATTTTGTGGTCTTGATTTTGAGGGGTTGTGTAAAAACATAAATGTAACTAGAACTATTTTAAATATACACAAAGATATATATAATACAAATTATCCTAAGTTGAAAACTGAACAACTGTTATTGTCGACTAACTGAAGAAAAGTGCAACTTCGTTTTGTTTAACGCATTGTTTAATAGCTGAATCTATATATTGTAGCAACCAAACAGCTGAATCTATATATTGTAGCAACCAAACAGCTGAATCTATATATTGTAGCAACCAAACAGCTGAATCTATACATTGTAGCAACCAAAC